ATAATAATGAACATTAAAATAATTTTTCAGCTATTTCATAAAGTGCGGTCTGAGGTAGAGAGAAAGTAACATTTATAAAATTGTCCAGGGAAGATAAATCAGGTAAGAGACAACAAGGAAGCTTCATCAACTGATGTATCTGAATACAGAAACTTAAAAGTTGTCAACAATGGGAGGGTAAATAAACACATCTTAACAATGGCAGCTAACGGTGAATGAGCTCAATATATCTCAAACTAGTTTAAGTATCATTATTATTTCCCATGGAGTAAACCCTATCTTGGACATGTCACCATACCAGGAAATGGTTAGCTACAGTGCCAACCCAGTCAGTACTCTCAACCCGAAGAACAGAAGCCCATTGAGCAGAGGAGAAAAGAGCACCGGTTCCAGAGCCTGGAGAACTGGAGTACAATCTCTGGTTTCATAGTTTCAGGGACAGCATCTCACCGCTTGGAGATTCGGCTTATAAAACGAGTTGTGCTAAATCAGCAGTCACTTTTGAGGTCTGTGGACTAATAAAGTACTAGCTACCGACAAGTGGTGATTTTGTTAAATCACTTTTTAAAAAAGCAGTCACCGCCACAACCTTCCTACCACAGACTATTATTCAGCTGCGAGCTATTTAAAGGGAAACAGGAAAAGAAGATCAACTGTTCCCACCATTTAAATAAACTTAGTTTTATAAGAACTTCCTACGCTGTCCTTTTCTCATTTCCCTTCAGACAAGTGAAAACAGTTCCTGGTTTTAGAAGAAAGACGCCCCCGCTCCCCCGGCCCCATCCCCTGGCGGGGAAAGAAAGTCAAACCCAGCGAGTTTCTCTTCCCGTGGCCGGGACTCGGCTGGACCAGGAGGCGCGGAACTCCCTGCCACTCGGGGTGGGAGCGGGAAGGGCAGGGGGCAGTGCTGGAGGGCAGGGGCGAGCGGGGCGGCAAGAGCCACGTCTGCCCCGGTTCGCGCCGGCGTCCCGAGCCAGGACTCGAAACCAGCTCAGACACCGACTGGGTCAACGCTCCGGGCCTGGGAAATGAAAGCTGGGGCCGTCAGGACCTACCTCCGGCCCCGCGATCCGGCCGTGGCCACGCTACCCGCGCCTGGGCTTCCTCTTCGGGTCCCGCAGGCGAAACCGGCTGCGCGCAGAGGAGCGTGCGCGGCGTCGATTACCCTTCCTGGCCCGAGAGGCGAAGGCAGGTCCTCTCTCCACCCAGAGACTCGCAGTTAACCGGGGAAGGGACCTGCGACTCCGAAAGGTTTCAGTTTCCAGCATCACATTCAAAAAAGCATTTCCTCTGGTCCTCGGAAGGGAAGGACTCCCAGAATGCACCGCTCCACGACCGGCTGAGTTGCAGTGCATTCTGGAAGTCGTAGTCTTTTTCCACCTCCCAGCAGGGTCCGGACTGCTAACCAAGTGGGAGAGACTAGGCTCCGACGTCTTTCTGAATGAAGGGGCGGGTCCTAGAGCACGGCAGGAGTCCACAGAGTGAGTGTTAAAATGCTACCAGATGTCACACTCTCAACCACGGTCTGCTGATGGAGGGTGGCTAAGACAAGTTCTTGCCTCAAAGTTACAAGATCACACGTATCTTTTTTTTTTAGTTCAGTCCTTATTTCATTGGACAAATATTTAATGAGCGTCTATTAGCAAAACACTCTGCTTGGAAGTGGAGCTGCAGTAGAAATCAAAATACACAAAATCCAGGCCCTTTGAATCTTACATTCTGAGGTAGAGAGAAAATAAACAAATAAACTTATCATGATAAGTGCTATAAGGGAAATAAAACTGGCTTAGTTAGAGAAAGGACAAATGTAGGTAGCAAAGGTCTTTCTGAAGAGGTGAGGGTGCTTATGAACAACCTTGCGCCAACAGCAGGAAGAGCATTCCAGGCAGAGAAAATGATAAGAAGAAGAAAGCCTCCCAGACTGGAGCAAAAAGAACATTTTGTGAGCTGAGCGTAATGTTCTAGAAGTGATCTGTGTTTCAATTTAATGAGTCTAGTAAAACAAAGGCAATAATAATAATGAACATTAAAATAATTTTTCAGCTATTTCATAAAGTGCGGTCTGAGGTAGAGAGAAAGTAACATTTATAAAATTGTCCAGGGAAGATAAATCAGGTAAGAGACAACAAGGAAGCTTCATCAACTGATGTATCTGAATACAGAAACTTAAAAGTTGTCAACAATGGGAGGGTAAATAAACACATCTTAACAATGGCAGCTAACGGTGAATGAGCTCAATAAATCTCAAACTAGTTTAAGTATCATTATTATTCCCCATGGAGTAAACCCTATCTTGGACATGTCACCATACCAGGAAATGGTTAGCTACAGTGCCAACCCAGTCAGTACTCTCAACCCGAAGAACAGAAGCCCATTGAGCAGAGGAGAAAAGAGCACCGGTTCCAGAGCCTGGAGAACTGGAGTACAATCTCTGGTTTCATAGTTTCAGGGACAGCATCTCACCGCTTGGAGATTCGGCTTATAAAACGAGCTGTGCTAAATCAGCAGTCACTTTTGAGGTCTGTGGACTAATAAAGTACTAGCTACCGACAAGTGGTGATTTTGTTAAATCACTTTTTAAAAAAGCAGTCACCGCCACAACCTTCCTACCACAGACTATTATTCAGCTGCGAGCTATTTAAAGGGAAACAGGAAAAGAAGATCAACTGTTCCCACCATTTAAATAAACTTAGTTTTATAAGAACTTCCTACGCTGTCCTTTTCTCATTTCCCTTCA